GTAAGGTTTTCGAAACTAGTCCAGTTTTTGCTGAAGGGCTAAAAAGACTGAGCAAGTTTTCACTAGCTTTCACTGGTTTAACCAAGGCATATCGGTCAATGACATGAGAAACACATCTGCTACGCGCGCTTCTTCCAAGTTGACATCCTTGACCAGTTGATCCAATTTCTTTTGCGATTGACAGCTTCCAGCTCAGTCAGACCACTTCTAGGCATGATTGCTCTCAGTCAACAACCTACACTGGCTGAGCTAAGCACAATTTGAGCTCTGTAATCAGATTGAGTTCCCAACAAGCAAAACCACTTCCTCATTCTCATCAGAGCCTTGCCTTGGGTCACACTCATATTCAAACACAAAACCAAAGCACACTGTTCATTGTTCAATTCAAAAACACCAACATACACGTTATTTATTCACTATAGCTCCAAGATTCCTGGGCGATAAGACAGCGATCGAGGTTCTTGAGCAGGTCATTGGGAGGGTCTCCAATGCGGGCGCTCAGTATCCCCTCACTACCAGAACTTCACTGCTTGCTCTTGGGAGTTTTAGGGAGCTTTGGAGGCAGGATTGTTCCGTCGAAGAGAGTGGCATCCATGGTGACACGACCAATGGGAAGTTGGAAGAAGCAAGACATGTTTATGGTTAAGGAAGAGAAGCCAAAGACTGAAGAGGAAGGAGTGAGGATGAGTGAGGAGGAGAGGTAGACAATATCCCCAAACTAAAGATGACGCTCCAGATGGGCGCCCTTCTCCAGGGCACCCCTGTTCACAGGAAAACTAAAATCGCATTGAAGCGCATCAAGTCTCACTTGAAGCTTGCTTAATCGTATTTGTGAATTTGTTGTCTTTGAACGTGCAATAAAAGACTAAAACTGATTGAAAATGCAAAAAGTGTATTTGTTACTTTTGTATCGGAACGTGAGGTTCAATAAAAGCTCGGCAAGTAAACGCTTTAAATTACTGTGTTTGAGTCAGCAGTACATTGCCATCCTCATTTTGCTATGAGTTTGTCAGATTAATTACTATTGATACTTCAATTTGTTTTTAGAAAAATTGTGTTCGAAAACCCTACTAGCAAAAAGACTGGGCAAGTGAATCTAGTCAAGTCTTGGCAGCGCTGTTGTTGATGGCATCGCGCCGCTGTTGCTGCTGCACTTTCTGCTGATGGACAAAGTGCCGATGTGCCTGGAGAGTCGGAAAAGTAAAAAGTGAGCAAGAGCTTAGAGCCCTGTCGTGTGGCCACATGGTGCGCTTGGACTGCGTGAACAGGTACGGAGGTTTCAGGCAAGACATGTTGCAGCACTACCTTCCGGCCATGCGGGCACTGCAAAATGGCCAGAACCCATGGAGCTGAGCACCCCAAACTTCTGGAGGAAATGCCCGATCTCAAGCACACGGTGGCTACCGCGGCACCTGGGGAGGCTCCAACTCCTGGTGCCATTGGCCCAGCGGTGACCGGCCCTGGCATGGCCATCATGGTTCCGTTGTAGAACAGCTAGAGGCTTGAAAGGTTTGATGAGGGTTTGTCAAAGTGTTTGACTGACTGCGTGGTTTGACCACACGCGCTCAGTGAACTTTGTCTTATGAGATGGTTTTTATGTGGGAAAAGTACCTAGTTAAAAACATACTACAGCCAGCCAATTTGTTCTGGGTTGTGATTCAGTGTGATGCTTGATTGGTTGTTTAAACCAATCAAAAGGGCGCCCTTAGCCTTGGAGATTCGTGTGTCTTATGTGAACAGTACTTTGATTTTTGAGCATCATTGGACTCCAATAACATTCATTCTACATGCTTGCTTGTCAGTGTGGCAGTTGGGGGGTTGCAGTTCAGCGCATTCACTTTGCTGCGCTCTTTGTCTTGTTGTTGCGCTTTCACTGGTTTTTCAATATTTTCGGAGCTGGAGTTGCACTTTTTTTGGCGCTTTTGTGTCGCGTGTGTGAAACTCCCATCTCATTCGTGTCACTTGTATGCACCTCTTTGCACTTTTGTGTGACTTGTTTGCACTCTGGTGCACTTCAAATCTGATTGGTGATGAAATCTGAGGGCGCATCAGCTTTTATCTTATTTGCGTCAGAAAGTGCACAAATAAGATCAAAACTGATGTGAAGCTGGTTTGAGCTGATTTGGAACAAAAAACACCTAGGTGATACCATTGAGACACAAGAGTTGCTTTAAAAATAATTCCACCCTTTGCGCGGAAGAGGAACAGTAATGATTAAAGTATGAGTCAAAATAATAGTAATCAACACGTGCGATGAGTTGTTTTTGTTCGGCGCGCTTCGCGCGCAAGAGTGACGCACACATATATATATTTATATATTTATATATTTATATCTATATTTAGATTTAGATTTAGATGTATATTCTGTGTTGCCCAAGCAGATACCCACCTTCCATCTTGGGCCGCCTTGAACCCTCGCAGCGCGCGTGAAGGGCACTATGGAGCACAAGGAATGTAGGTGAGTTGCTCTTTGGTGGGGGCCTTTGCGACGGATTGGTCCACGCAAGTCCGCTTTCCGAGAGCCTCACATCTTGAAAAGAACACGCTGCTCTAAGGCGTCGAAGAGGGCTCTCCAGCGTGAGGGTGACTCCATACCTGGGTCTGACCTGGCAAAGCTCCAATCTCAAGCCTCACCGATTCATCTAGATTCATGCCCTCAACTGTTCCATCACCTCAAAGCCAAACATCTCTGGTATGGCGCCATCTTTTGCAATGAACATCATGACTTTGCTTACCTATACATCTCTTAAGCTCTTCAATCAGCTCCTCTTGGCCAGGGCTGACTGGCAGTGTCCATCCTCTTGATTCCTGAACCCGGAATGAACTGGGGGCTCTCGTGGCCCCAACTGAGGTTCTCGCATCATCTCCTTTTCCACTCCACGACCTCCTTCAACTCATCACTGAGCCTCACTGCCAACGCGCGAACCGTCTGCAGCGTGGAGACCACTCTAATGAAGAAATGAGACTTGGCTGAGCCACCACATCCCTGAAAGTAACCCTCTCCTTCACCACCTGTCTTCCCTCTCATGATCTCACGGCCAACGTCTTTCCTTGCGCAGCTTGTGATTCTCGCTCCCTGGGCGTCCTGCGGGTAGGGCGTCTTTCCTGATATCTCACCCCATGTGCATCACGCAGCCTGGGAACACAGAAGCGTCTGCACCGGAATCCACGAGTCTCCTCTTCAATCTCACGCACCGCGCTCAACTCATAAGCCTGCTCCTCACCTTCAGCTTCATCGTCAGCGGAGATGTTTAGATTGATCTCCTCCGCCCGTTGCGCCACCCGTCGTAGTAGAAGGAGAAGTGGTCAGCGCCTCAATCTGCCTGCCGCAAACCATCTTTCGTTTTCCACATGTCCAGCATACATCATTGTTTCCTTTGCCCCCTTTGTTGTCTTTGCCTCCTTTGCATTTACTCTTGCCCTTGTCGTCGACTTAGCATCTTTGCCTTTCCCTTTCTGGTCCTTGCCGCCCTTTCCTTTCTGCAACCGGTCAATCTCCATCGGCAACGCCTTGGTCCTTCGTCTGCATTGGGCTCACACCTGAAAAGGACAATGCGCCTGATCCATGACCTGATGAGTATGGCAGACTTCATGCCTGATGACAGCTTTCCTCCTCCAAACTTCTCATACTGTGTGAAGCGCTCCTCAAGTTTCAAGATCTGCAGCAGAAGTGAACTTCTCATGTTGAACAAGAGATAGGCCATAGCGCCCTGCAACACTCATCGTCGTGTTGCGAGCCTGAGGCTGGCACTTGCCAAGAAGCTGACGAAGTGCTTCATAGCCGTTGAACTTGTCGATGTTGTTTATGACTCCAACCAGCCTCCCTTGCAACAATCCTCCACGAAGGGAATATAGGAACCTGCTTCTCTGTTGTTCTCCATCTGAAAAGAAATCCCAATTATATAAGCTCAGTGGATGGGTTTTCCTCCATCTTCTCAATCTCCTCCTGGTACGCTCCATCCACCACCACCAAATACTGCTTGAGGCTCCAGAACCAATCCTCCACTGAAAAACCTCCTGTTCCCAGGATTGAATACCTGTGGCCTCGGAATCAGTTTCGCAAAGTCCTTCTCGAGTACTCCAGCCTCAACACCACCTGTAGATGCCGTATGTGTTGCTGAACCCTGGGCTGCTTGTGAGGCAGCATGCGGCGCCGCTTACCCAATCAGCTCCAGCCAACATCGCTGCATCTCCCGCAAATCCATCCATCTCCTCACCTGGGTGCCCTCATCGATGGGGCCAGTGACCTTCTCCAGCTTTGGGGCGTTGGTCCACTGCCAATTCCTCAAGGTGGTACTCAAAAACAAGGATGTGGGCAAGGCAAACCTGCTCACAATTCACGGTCAAATAAACACAAGCAAAGAGGGCGAGCGAGACACACCAGCCAAATGGGATGCTCGGCACGGTCACGTGCAAAGACTGGGCCCGAGATGGAGAGGGAGGTCTCCCTGGAGCTCAGGTGAGATCCGTAGAAATCACCATCCTTGCTCCGCTACCATGCGGATAGTGCACTTTTGAACACTCAGGGCCTGCAGTACGGCATGTGTCTATTGCGCAGCATGTGAGTGGCTTTGTTTGCGCAAGAACCCATCTATCAACAGTACTAACCGACTGACTGCCAACACAAATTAGGGCCCAATGAATGCCTCCACTGCAAAGGATCCTTGTACTCCTCCACCACGGCCGGCATGGCTGAGCTGTATAATTACAGATCAAGTCGCACGGAGTTCTGTAGAATTCGCCACCCGGTAATTTCATCAGATTTGTTCTGATCGGCTTCACTATGATACATGCAAAGATCACAGCTCTCTTGGATCGACATCCCATGTCTCCCAATGATGTACTGAGGTGCTCCACCATGTTGGAAAACCTGCTGCCTCTTTCAGCAGGCAAGGTCTTTGGAGCATGCAACGATCCTAGAAATGCCTGGACTTCTTCCGCAGCACAGGCTAGAACCCCAAGCTAAGCGCGACGATTGCGTGACAGTCTTAGCGTTTGGCTCTGGCGCAGGCCCCAATCCCCGCATTTAAGCAGGTTGCGTCCGGCCACGGGCCCTGGCGCCACATCTCCTCGCTGGAAAGCTGCGTTGACTAGCTTCTGCTCATCTAAGTTTCAGTGTTCAGTTCAATAAACCGGTGCCCGGCAACAATCATTCGAAGAGGTTTTGTGAAATAGTTCGGGGAAAGCATGTTTTGAAGCCGCAGCCAGCTGGTTGAAGCGCATGCTCGAGGCAAGCGTGTGAAGAAGAGTCCAATACCCAGAGCATCGACATCCGATCTGAGCACAAACAAGTTTTCTTGAGCTGTTTGCCTTCTACTTAATTTACAGCGCGTTTACTATGTGTACTGTAATTTGACTAGAATTGAAAGGCTTCCCAACTAAAGCGTTGCCGTGTCCTTACTTGTCCTTGTTGAAACCGGGACCAAACTTCTTCAAAAAGCTCCTCCAGCAAGGCTGTAGCATTCTGCCATTCACGTGCCTCAGCAATGGCTGCACGCATCTCAATCTTGGAGCAGGTATGGCAGAATCAGAAGAAAAACATCTTGTCTGAAGCACTGGCTAACCCCACTATCTGCCCAGCTATTGGTTTTCACATCAGCCAAAAATCTGCGGTTCAATCTTCCTGGGCCACCCTACTCCAGCCATCTGCCTCAACGCTGATGTGCACCGAGGTAGGCCTGCACAGTTGCGGAATGCTTAAAAAGAGAACCAGACAACTATGTCCTGCAAATGTGCAAAAGGGCGAAACACCGAGAAAAACCTTGCCAACCCTTTGCATGGCTACCCAACCAATGTTCTCAATCTTGATGCTCCGCAAGGCCATCGCTAGTAGGTTGGAAGCCATCGCTAGTAGGTTGGAGGCATAATTAGCTCCAAAGCGGTCCAAACTCAGAGCTCCCCACTTGGCAAGCGGCGATCACGGCTCCCCAGTGAAGAGGAATCTGCAGGCCACTGATAAACACAAGAAACGATCAGGTCCTTAAGGGCTGTGGTATGCTGTGGGAGCAACCGATAGCTAATGTCCACTGAGCCCAGGTTTCTGTGTGGGCAGCGGTCACTGGTTTGGGAGGGAGGCAGATGTGGGTAGATCTTGTCACAGTTCAAACTATAGTGAAATACAATTATATAACCAATCAAAACACGAAGTAGGAACTTTCAACCCCCAACATTATCCGTGCCGGAGGAACATCGGCCGGGGCTGCAGCTTATAAAAGCGTTCCTAACTTTAGTACATTGTATTTGCTTGTTGGATTTGAGGCCTTCTACTAGGGAGAACGCAGACAAAGAAACAGTTGTAATTGAAAGAAAATCGCACAAACCGAAGCCGGATGCCTCCCTGGAAAGCTCAGTGCCTGCTAGCATGGCTGCAAGCTCGCGGGCCTCTCATATTCCCAGTCAAGTTCACAAAGCGTGCATTTCAACACGCGCATAATGGCAAGACCTGATTTCACACGTCATTTGCGCAAATGCAAAGATCAAAATCCGCCCGCACCGAAGGTGCCGAGGGCGTAGTGGAGGCCCGTGGCAACAGCAATCGGAAGAAGTCTGCTAGATTAAATCTTAAGCTTTACTTTGGGGGGTCGCGTTTGCTCGGGAAATGCTGTGCTTTGCAGTGTTTTTGAAAGTTGATGATAAGCCCAAAGAATATCCCCAACAACTTAAGCGCAAAATGCAACACTTTTTCTTCAGGTTAGCAAGGTAAACTAAGAGGATTGGATACTAAAAGGTTAGCAAGGCAAAAGCTAACAGTAGGAAGCACAATGAAATAGACTTGAGGTATCATGAGGTGTCCTTGACTGTCGATTCGGGCCCCGAAACCGGATTCGGGGCCCGAATGGAGAATAGGAGGAAACTAAGAGAATAGAATACTAGAAGGTTAGGAAGTTAAGAGAAGGAACCACAATTGAATAGACTTGAGGTATGATGAGGTTGCCTTGACTGTGGATTGGGGCTCCGAAACTGGATTCGGGGCCCGAAACCGGATTCGGGGCCCGAAAGCGGATTCGGA